TTCTTTCTTCGGTGTCGTGACGGTAAAGGAAAAGGTCGAAGATCGCTGTGGAGGCCGTGGAGACAGTGACGGAGAACGTCCTTTTCTGAAACTACCATTGCTTGAATAAATATCAGTGCTTCTAATCACACAACTGAGAGTACATAACATAAGGATTTTTTATGATGCAATGTTAATCCTTACCTGACTGAAGCTGTCGGGGTTTCCCGAACCGAAGATGTCGGTGTTTCTCGAATTGTTGCTCGGACAGCTTAAAGGAGTCGTTACAAGTAGGATCAAGTTAGATATGTATCTTGTCCAACAAGTAAAAGGGATGATAAAAGGATAGATAGAGCAACTACCATTCCTCAACTGATGCCAGTCATCTTCATCATCTAGGCTGCATCCAAGGTATTTCGACTTTGTTCGGTTCGCACCGTGCATGGCCTCCCCGACTGAAAAGAAATCCAAGACATTGAAAACAACCACATATCATTGTCTCTGTAATAGAGCAGGGTACATTACCTGGCAAGATGTATCGTTTATGGTACATTGGCGTATTAATTACCAGTGACTGTTGGGAAATGCCTTCACGATCGATATACTCTCGGCATGTCCGTAGTCTCTACAATTACCATACAGCAAATTTCAGTATACAAGCAAGGTTGAACATCAACCAACAAGAAAGAATTTGACTGATAAACCAAGTCAACCTGTTCGATACTAGATACTCGGATCTTGGTTCCCGAAACCTCTTCAACTTGTTCATCCGAAAGATTGTTAACCATGTATGTCACGGAACCTAAATGGAAGTAATTGCTCGGCAATATCGACGATTTAAGGTATGAACTACGATGAATTCGAGTTACTCACATCTGCTTTTGGTCATCATTGGTGTAGGACAGTTCAAAATACTCGGCTGCTGAGTATAGCTGTGATCTCAGATTTTTCAAATCCTGCAGCAAAGAAACCTTGTCATAAAACGAAAAGCGTAGAAGAAAACCATGATCGTCGTGCTCGGGTACGGCTCTCGGTGTCGGACACAGGTACTCGAAAAGTGCCAATGGGAACTAAGCTACTTTGAGAAACAAAGAACAAGCATTGTAAGTGGTATAACCTTAAGACTATCAGAGAACAACAAGCTCTGCTGCATGGAAATCTCATCATAATTGGATGGTTTTCGAGACACGGGCATCACAGCAGCCGGAGCCATTAAATCCGTGACCAAGATCGGACCGACCGAGCACGCCGTGATCTGCATCAATCGAAATAATCAAATACTAAGTCTCTTGAGCATTTTAAGCTCAAGGCACACCACCAAGAGAGTCAAAATGAACACCACGTTGAGCCTAGAGAATTATAAAACAAGAACCACCGGGAATCAATCAGCAGCAAGCATGATATTTGGAAAATAAGTTTCAACTAATAAGATACAATAAAATTGCAGATACTAACCTCGTTTTTGTACAAGCTTGTTCTTTTCTTTCTCACTAGTTGTGTAGCTATATCATATACATTTGTTTTAATTTTAATGGCAGGCCTACTCCTCTTATGATGATTCTATTTGCTTTACTAGTTGTACTTGGAATTTATAGAGAGTGTGTTTGGTTTGGGGGACCCCATTCCTGCTTTTAGATATGAGTGTGAGTCTTTCTTTTCTCCGCCTGTTGCGGAGGAACTGACGGTTTAATTTGCATGCCCCTCGTTTAACACACTATCATATATGAAAGACGTGGCCTTAGTCTGACAAAGAGGCGGCGGGGCTGTTGTTTATTCTAAAAGTTTAAATTATCACATATTAGTTTATTTTAATTTATTTTATATTAAAAATATATTCTCATCTCCTAAAATTTTAAAAATTAAAGTTTATTATCTAATATAAGATATTGTGTCCGTCCCTACTTAAATTGTTTGGTGTAAGGGTGTTCAAATTCAATGGGATGCATCTAGGGATGAACACGGGACGCAAACTCGACAGGTTTCGACCTGAAATCGACGGGTATCGACCCGACCTGATCGAGTTAGATTATTTTTAAAAAACTTTGGGTTCGGGTGGGTCGAGTTGTGTTTTTTCAGAGGTTATGTTCGGGTCGGGTCGTGTTTGGGTTTATGGTGAAAAAATATTCGACCCGATTTGGGAAAAAAATATAATTTTACCTTATATATTTAGGGATAATCACAACAATATCCATCTATATATTATTTTTTTAATTAAATTCATATTTTTATTGATTTTTTAATAAATATATTATTTCGAGTCAGCTCAAATTCGGATTTTATGTCAAAAAATTATATCGGTTTTAGATCGGGTAAAGGGTGTATAATTTTTGGATTAGATGAAGGATATATAATTTTCGGGTCGGGTCGGATTGATCGAAACCATTGAGGAAAACATTGAGGGGGTGTTTGGATTAAGGATTGTGGGAATCTTAAGTTCATATGTTTGGGTGGTCGGAAATCTCATTCCCGGTAATGTTTTATTATTAATAGTAGATTTTTTTGAGGTATATTACCGGGAATGTCATTACCTCTATTCCCTTAGGTATTGTAACATTATCGGCGTTTTGGACTAAAATGCCCTTAATTTTTTATTTTTTTCAAAAATATTTTTCTTCTGTCATTAAATAATAAAAATTCTACGAATGTTAAATTACAAATTTATCCTTAAATTATTTTAGATTTACAAAAAACAATTTATAATTAAAATTTTATATGAAGTTTAGGGGTTAATTTTTTTTTATTATTTCATTAAACCTTTTTTATATTTTTGATTTTGTAAAAAAATTATATAAATATTATGAATTTAATTTTTTAAATAAAATATATAAATATTTTACAACTTGTAATATTATACAAATATATAATAAGGACAATTTGGTCAAATATACATTCTAATAATCTTTTATTCCTTTAACCAAACACGATAATCTTACATTCCTGCTAAACCAACCAAACACAAAAAACAACATTTTCAGTAATCCTATTCCCTGGTAATCTTATATTCCCACTAGTAATCTTACATTCCGTGAACTAAACGCACCTGATTATCGAACTTTTGGGCAAAACTGTAGCGTACAAAACGGTCCTAAAATGTCCGTTTTCTTTCTTTATACTACAATATATATAGTCTCAATAATAATCTAGAGTAATATATGTAATTAATTAGTCTAATAAATTATTATTACACTCAAAAGCAATTTGTCGGAGTCAAAAGTTACATAATAAAACAAGAGTAGCCGGATATTTTGAATATTCTGAACTATTTTCCCTTCAGGGAATAAATAAATAAATAAAAGGAGTTAAGGTATTTAGACTACACTACAGCTGATATGATGGAGACTTTACTGCGTCAGGGAATAAATTTTCAAAGGTAATTCTCACCTAACGACACAAGTATTTTGTTCCTAAAAAAATAGGGTAAACTATGCCCCCAAACCATTAATTTTAATCTGTTTTACTATTTAATTTTTTTTTTCAAATCATATCTAACATTAATTTTTTTCATATTAGTTCTTTGTCGTTAAAAATTTAATGCGTTTAATACCTGAACTATTTATTTTGGTCCTTTTTAGTATCTAATTTTTTAATTTATTTTTAACGGGTACTAAAATGAAACAAAAATTAAATTATATATGATTTTGAAAAAATTAAAAGTTTAAATATTACAATGAACTAAAACTGATAGTTTAGGTACTAGATGTGTGATTTACCCAAAATAATATCAGATTGGATTACAAATGAGTGGTCGAATTTCATTTTTAATTAGTTTATGTTGTTGTAATTTCTCCTTAAATAAGTTTGTAATTCTTTGTTTATAATACGTGTAGTTACGTCATAGCAGAAACATTCTTCTTAGTTTGACATCACTCCTGTAAACGTTGAACTCAGTGCTACTATCATCTGCAAAAACATGGAGTTTCATTTATACTCAAATATTTATCTATATAAATAGATAAAGGATTAAGGCTATATATTAGGTTGTTCACGAGGATTTCTCTTATATTATTCTTCTATTAACATTAGTGAATTTTTTCTTCTTTAGTTTTTTACGTAAAATTTTAGTATCTATTTTGTTAGACGATCAATATGCATGTCGTTATCTTTAACGGGCTACGTGCAATATTAGTCTTATATTTCATAAAATCTACCATGTAAAAGCTTTTAAGGAGGTTTTTTTTTCCATGATAGTGGTATCTTCATTTGAAAATTGTAGGCTTTTGACCTGCTCCAAATGCTAAAGAAGGAAGAAGAGAAGCTTTATGCTATTAGAGAATAACAACTGAAGGTATTAATCTGCTCAAATTAGCCTAACATTTCTTCCTACAAGTTTTACTCCTGCCTACCAGTTATTTATTAATTCTTGATATTTCAAATATATCTAGAGATTGGATTGAATATAAGCAAATATAAACGAACAAATGTAAACGAACATGAATGAATGAACACAAACAAAAGGACGACCGAACGGTTCACAAACGATTAGCCCGTCGAACAGTTCACAAACGATCGTTTGTGTTTCCTATCGAACAGTTCACAAACGATTAGTTTAACGTTCAGTTCGTTTAAATCCTACATGTATATGTCGAATCTAGTGCTACTCAACAAATCGCTTCTATCAGCAAAATGCATCCAACAAGATAAGCCGTGATCTGCTCTCTTTCCTGAAAGAAATTTCCATTTGGTTTCCAAAAGGGAAAACAACCGTTGCAACAGGCAGTACCAGAAACTTGAGTTCATCACAAGCACAAAACAGTTAAATGATGAAAGATTGTAGTACATAAACCTATGGTACTCGGATATGGATGAAATATCAATTATTAAACAGAGTATCAGATAGATCCCAATACCCATGTCTTTTTAGGTACTGTCCACACCTACATGAACATTTTTTCACCAGAAAAAACGCAAATTATAATTATATTCTTATTGAAAGGTTGAAGACAATATTGATCATTAAACTGTTACATTGAAAAAAAGGGAATACTTGTACAAATGCAACAACCAAGCTCAATGGCAGTATGATGGTCTTTAATCGATTAAAGAGACAATAACATGAAGCATTCAACAACAATGGCAGCAGGTGGTGTTTTTGTTTATCTGTATGCTGTAGGTATGAACAGTTTTTGGTGCAATTACATCTCATTTTGCAAACCAATAACTGAAAAAAAAGAACTGAAAATCAACAACAAAAAGACTTCAATGAAGCCAGAACTGCAAAATCCAGAGAAGATCAACCACTTACAAATTACAATACTTCACAATTGAAAGAGAGAGAAGTTTCAACTTTCAAGCATCAATGCATTGAAGGCCTCTGCAAACCCACAACCAAATCCCGAATAGAGTAGCACAAACGAGCAGATCCAACACCAAAACCACCCATACATGTTTCTTCCAAGTTTTCTTGGCCTTTTGCCTTTCTCCGCCGCTACCCAAAGCGCCACCCTTCTGCATTGAAACCGAGAAATCTCTAAAATCATCACTCACGTCAACCATGTTATCCATCCCAATTCCACCGCCACAGTCTTTGCCCTCACCGCCGTTGATCTCCAAGCCCCCGAACCTCTTCTTCTTTTTTAACCCCTTAATCGGCTGCTCCAACAGCGGAGCCGCCATGGTTCCTTTGCCTCTGTCGGAATCCATACTTGGGTTCCGACTGTCTTTGCCTGGAGATCCAATGAACACCAAATCCAAGCCCATTAGCTCAGAAAAGATTGGATCGAAATGGGACTGGAGACAATTCGGGGTCAAATCATCAGTACCCACGATCAAACCTCTTCGAAGAAGATCCTCGGAAGCAGTTTTCAAGCGATTCAAGAACAAAAAGGACTCGGATTTGTCAAGATCCTCGTGGGATATGATGAAATAGACAAAAGGGTCGTCGATTAAGAAGGTGTGGGTTCTTTTACAAGCTGTGTGAGAGAACATGGAATGGAAAGGAGGGGTTTTCTCGATGCATTTCCGGCCCAACGATTCGATTCCCGGCTGTTCTTTGCTAGAGAATTCCGCAATAATCGTGGGTCCATTCGCAATGCAAGCATAGAGTACCAGATTTGGATCTGAAATCATTTGATGAGTTGTTCTTAAAACACCGGGTCAGCTCTTTTTCGGTTCCTGTTTACAGATTGAACGGTGTTCTTCGCTAGAGTTTCTTTGGAGAAGAACCAAAGGATCCAAAACAGAAATTAAGAAGAAGAGAAGCAAAGAATAATGACACCTCAATTCCCTTTTCAATAACCATGTTTCATGAAATTATACCCCCCAACCAATTTAAAGATTGTAATTACGGGCAATAACCTTTAGAATTTTATAATGTTTTCCGGCTTCTGTCGGCATCGGCAACTTCCAATAATACACTGTACTGTAGCAGATATACAGGTCAATTTATTGGCCTATATCCCAAAGTACCCCTAGAGAAACTAATGTGGTGTTTGTTTTTTCATAGGTAAAATGTCTGCAGTCTGCGGATCAAATCTGCAGGTATCTACAGTAGAAGAGGTGAACCAAAAGTCTACAGTCTGTAAGAATAAGACTGTTTGTTTTTTAACGTCTGCAAACTGCTAAAATGAACTGAAATTAAATAAACTGTTTTTTTAAACTTAAAAAAGTTTTGCAATACTGAGATTTAAATAATTTTAGTTTTACAATACTGAAATTTAAATAATTAATATAACTACAATAATAAATTATTTAAAATAAATCAATCCATATTTTAAAATAAATCAATCCATACTAATAAATTATTTAAAATATATCAATTCATACAACTACAATAATAAATCAATATATATTTTAAAATAAATCAATTCATACTAATAAATTATTTAAAATAAATCAATATATACAAATACAATAATAAATCAATCTATATTTTAAAATAAATCAATTCATACTAATAAATTATTTAAAATAAATCAATTCATACTAATAAATTATTTAAAATAAATCAATCCATATTTTAAAATAAATCAATTCATACTAATAAATTATTTAAAATAAATCAATCTATGTTTTAAAATAAATCAATCCATACTAATAAATTATTTAAAATAAATCAATCTATATTTTAAAATAAATTAATTCATACTAATAAATTATTTAAAATAAATCAATTCGTATTTTAAAATAAATCAATCTATACTAATAAATTATTTTATAATAAATTATTTTAAAATAAATTATTTTATAATAAATTAGTTTATAATAAATTATTTTAAAATAAATTATTTTATAATAAATTATTTTATAATAAATTATTTTAAAATAAATTAGTTTAAAATAAATTATTTAAAATTATTTTAATAAATAACCATATTTTATAATTGTTCTTGAAGAGGTTTGAAGACATTTGAAGACATAAAACCATGTCTGCACCAAGAAGAGCTCGCGCAGACGTTAGAAGAGTTTGTGTCTTTTAAAAAATAAACGGTCTGCAAAACCTAATGTTTGCGCGTGATCTGCGCGACACAGACATAAGAGGTTTGAAGAGGTTGCACAGTGAAAACAAACTAAGCCTAATTATCGAATTAATACCCTTCTCAAATTAAAAACATCTTTCAATTCATTCATATTAAGAAAGACTCTGTCTTCTTTTGTTAAATTCCATTTAATATTTTTAATCTTTTAGATTTTATTTTAATTTTTATGATTAATATAAAAATATGGTAATTTATGCTTAGGCATTTAGCTATCAAAATTTTAAATTTAATTAATATTATAATTAATTTAATTAAATATTTAAAACAGAGTAATAAACTTCTATATAAAAAATATTTTTTCAAGGGAATACATCTCCTCGCCAATATTCTTCTCTTCATTTGTTTACGAGGGAGAAGACCCGATAGAATCACGCCACGTCATTGATAGCATGGAAATCCTTGACGTGGCACTTGGGGAACTGATAGTTGGAAACGTGGTCAACTGTACAGAAAACAAGCAGAGTCACGATTGCGACCGGGGGGCATTTAAGAGGCCAAACGACAGCGTTTGATTCCAATCGTCTTTCCCGATGCGATCCATGCTCCCTCGGTCACATGAACTCTGACATTGATGGTTTCATACATATAAATATAGGGTATAAAACATAGGAAGTTGCTGAAATTAAAAAAAAAATCAACGTCTTTATCATATTATTTTACTTTTTAATATAGTCCTCTAACTTAAGAAAAAAATTAATATGATTTTTTAATTAATATGATTTTTGTAGTTAATTGTTATAATATTAATATGACGATTCACGATACTATTTGATATTTCACGTTCTAACATATTTAAATTATTAATTTAGTCTATCTATTATGTCATCTGACATATTATGAATTATCGTAGATTGCTACGTTATCATCATGGACCACAACATCAATATAATAAAGTCACATTGATTTTTTTTTTAAATTACATAAACCTAAAGTAATAAGGATAAGGCACACGATAAATCACAAAATTATAGTTAACTGATTAATTAAGCTACTGAATCTTTTAAAAGATTCCAAAATCATCATTAAATTATCGAATTACTACGATATAATAACAAATCGTAACAACTTCATATGATAAAAGCTTGAATACTCGAAGAGTTTATGGTTTTATTATCGTCATTACATCACTAACACGGATAGTGGCATGTCCGAAACACAACATAAACCAAAATCATTTCACCACCCATGATTTCCAATAGACAACCTCCAATCTTCTCCGCCGCCTACACCGGCATCCGGGCTACAGCCACCGATACGTCTAGATGGTACACGAGCACCGTTGCTCTTCGTACCAGGGCTCCTTGGGGGCTGGTAGACCGTTGTCCCTCCACCTGAACTTGATAAATCACAGCCGGGGATTTCTTAGTTGATGGGTTCCAGTGGGGTACATATGGTCCACGTTGCTGCTTCACTGGTCCTTGACTTCGCACCTTGGCTTTGGCGGATTGGGTTGGGGCCATATAGCTTGGTACATTACTAGACCCTGATTGCACCTGCTGCTGAGTTGAGTGCGAGTCTGAATCCATTGCCGTCACCACGTCCATTTCGACGGTTTTGTCAGACATGTTGTCTGTAATGGTCGTGGTCGCAGTGTTTGTTGGTAGTGTCGTGTAAGAACCCTCTTGAAGGCCTAATTGACGTGCATGTTACGGTTGCGATGACATCCAATGCTCGTGCCTGTTCCAACTCCATTGCGCCTTCTCACGATCATTGAGATGCTGTCCAACATCCTTGCCATTGGGGTGCGGTTGCAAGGGAAGCTGCTGCTGCTGCTGCTGCTGCAAAAAGTGAATTAAATGACCATTTAATCACTAAACAATGTGTTTTTCAAGTGCTTACGATTAACCATTAACCAACCTGATAGTTATAAGCATACGCAAGGGCCCTTTCTCGTCTCATTACAGCATCATGCTACTCTGAAGTACTTTCCATAATTTTCTTCGATGGGGTCTTCGGCTTTCGTTCTACTTCTTCGGTTCGTATTTTTACTTCATCGTCTTCATCCAATCTCTTTTGCATCTGTTCATTATCAGTTAGCTGCAGCCTACAAGCTCGAACTCTTGCCTGCACCCGTACTAATGCTTGCATGCACTTCATTGTCATTTGTGCTTGCTTGCGCACATTATAGCCTCTAACCAATGCCTGCAGCCTGACCAGTCCCTTCAAAGCACGCAATGCTCTCCGAGCCTACAAATCATCATCGGCAACATTTAGACAATCTAAGACTACAATGTCCCATTTCCTCCCTCAAGGAACTTATAAGCATGATCACCTATATTGTTCAATAATCCTTTTTAAGGTTTTTATCCTAGGAGAAAAGCTTGTGCATTCAAGTGCCGTAAGTGGTCCTCAAGAACCCTTATCTACGGTTTCTAAAATGTGAGTGATAAAGATGAATAGAGATGGATTTGTTTTACCAGGTAGCCTCTGTAATACGACTGTGTGAGTGTTGCAGCTCTTTCTTCCTTAGACTGGCGTCCATAACCCGCCAACCGGACAACTTCTCCACATTAGTGATGTCCGGTGAACTGTCCAACATTATAATAGTTGCAGAAAGAATGGAAGCCCAACATTATAATGTGGCCCCCAACCAGGGATTTAAATAGCGTTCGTGGTTGCGTTTTCGGTCGCGTCGCGTTTATCGCGGTTGCGAACATAACGGATGTCATCGCGGTCACCGCGGGTGTCGCGGTCGTAAATTTTCTTAAAGTTCTCACAACTTATCATAAACTATAATAATTATAATTATAATTTTAAAGAATCATTTTAATGATTTTTAGAATATTTTCTAAACGAAAATACATATATAATATAGTTTAATCAAATATTAAACTCAGTGATAGGATAAGATAATTAATTAATAATAATATAGTGAATACATTATTATTTAAAAGAAATAAGACTATCAATATAAGAAAAACTCAAAAAAATAAATATATAAAAATAAATTACCATTATTATTCATTTACCAAAACCAACATATTATAACTTAAAACTTATAAAATTAAAAATAACACATTATTTATTTTTAGAAAACCTATAACATAAGTAAAAAATACCAAATTCAAAAAATAATTAATTTATTATGTCTGTTTTGGTTCAAACCTATAAGTAAAAAAATAATTAACTTGTTATTGGGCCTGTTTTGGTCCAAACCTAAAACATTAAAAGTAAAAAATAATTATTTAAAACAAAATATAACTAAAAAATATTAAATCCCTTCTTCTTCATCTTCTTCTATATCGTGAGTGAGAGGGGAGGCATAAACGCAGAGCAAATATTATGAAAAATATAGATTTTTTTTTTGTTAAAATTCATCCCTATTCTTCTTTATTTTTCATATTTTTAACTTTTCTTTATTTGCTAGCTTGATTCCTACCAAAAATACCCAAAAATACTCAAAAAATATATATTTATTTGTTACCGTTATGGATGTTTCTCCCTCCAGTAAGAGGGCTAGCGAGCTTGATACGCAATTCCCACCTACAAAGTTTCATTCCCAGTTGGTAAGGTTAAGAGATAATATTGTTTTTCCGTCTTTGAATTACCTGTAAAAAAAAAAAAATACTATTTTTTTTGAAGTAACTGTGTTGTTGGTGATGTTTGGTGTTGTAACGGGAATTAACGGGAAAAACGGTCATGTATAGCCGCGATCGACTGTTACCCGTTAAATTGCGGCCGTTATAGGTGTGATTCCGTTTCACACCGTGATTTCGACTGATATCAGTAACGAGAGCCGCCGATACCGCAATATAACGGCCGTTATACCATTACACGGCCGTTTTTTGAATCCCTGCCCCAACAACCAAACTCACCATCATTCAAGTGGGAGAAAATTAGAAAAAAGAAATACATCAGTTGCTGAATCAAATAGTGTGTCTTGCTGTTAATGTCAATAAAAGGTTCCTCGTCTTTTTCTTCTTGCTTGTGTCGGTGTAACCCTAATTAGATGGTGCTGGTTCACATTATGTTATTAATTAGGGCTTCATCTTTGCTAAAACATATCAAGATTTCACTGGAATTCAACAGAAGTTTGAACTTTTCTCTTGGCTTTTATCTACACAAGCAAAATAATGATGATAAAAGAAGTGGGTATACACTAAAAAGTGATGCAGTGAGGTATATATGCCAAGTTCATGACTTTGACTGGGGACGTGTAATTATGGAGTATTGATGTGAACGTGAGTTCATCATACTTACCGGAACTCGTAGGCATATTCACCTAATTTTTCAGAGTTAGAGATTGACTTGGAAAAGTTGTAGTACTGCTTTAAATTCAGTTTGATGATTGGATAATTTATGCATTTGGTCACTCGGCTTTTATTGTTTTTATGTTTTAGTTATTTAACTTTACAAAAATTAATTTTACCACTCAGCAATCAGTTTTTTTTTCCACTCAGTCATTTCTGGGTCTAAGGGGAATAAGGATGGCAACATGCCGGGTTCGGGCCGGGTATTGGATCTCCCGTCCCCGTTTAAAATACCCGTATCAATCCCCGTTTAAAAAACTGCGGAGATTTAAATGGGATCCCCATCGGGTAATCGGGGAAAATTGTGGGGAAACGGATATCCTGTTTAGCATAAACGTTTATTTTAACGGATATCGGACCGAGTATATATATATTTAAATTAAATATATAAATATTATATATATATTTTAATTTAAATTAAATTTATTAATATTATATATATATATATATATATATATATAATAATTATTTTTAATATTTATCGGGCCGGATAATCGGGACGAAGATTACCAAACTCGACCATTTCCCTGTCCCCGTTTAACATAAACGATTTTTCCCTATCCTGTTCCCGTTTAACATAAACAATTTTTTCCGTCACCGTTTAATTCGATTTTTCCCGTCAAATCAATCTATATCTCGATTTGGGATTAATCATTCTATATCCCTAAAGGGAGCGCTTCACCCTCAAGCTTTGGGCTTTGAATTTCAAATCAATCTATATCTCGATTTGGGATTAATCAAGAAAATTCACAAGAAAAATCCAGTCAAATCAGAACACCATCTCTCTGCAACCCCAAATCAATTAGATATTTTTCTAAAGAGAAGGGGGGAAAGATGCAGAATACTGAAGGCAGCTGTCTGTCTTACATGGCGGCGTGGTTGGGAAGCAGCGTGGCCCAAGCTTTCTTCGCATCTCTGGAGCGTTGTTCTTGCATCAACCTTTCTACATCCGACGATGCCGATGATTCCGAGGCCCACGATCGACCTCTCATGATCACCAATTCCTCCTCCATCTCTTCATCTGTTACTTCTGTGGCCGCCGCCAACAGCAGCAGCAACTCTCACTCCAACGGCGTCGTTCATCTCCCCGTCTGAAAGTTTCCTTCTTTGACAGTTTGATCAGATGAGGACTATCGGTATCAAGAAGGATATAATTTCGTGGAACACATTGATTTCTGGATACATGAACAATTCCTTGCTTGATGAAGCTTTGAACTTATTTAAGCATGTTTTGACAGAGGACGGGATCGAACCTGATTCTTTCACTCTAGGGAGTGTTCTATACGCTTGCACGAACATGGCTTCTTTGAGTCTTGGGAAAGAGATACACACTCAAGCCATTGTTAGAGGCCTGCAATCTAATACCTTTGTTGGGGGAGCCTTGGTAGAAATGTACTGTAAATGCCAAGAGCTAAAGGCTGCTCAAATTGCTTTTAATGAAGTAAACGAACGTGATACGGCAACATGGAATGCTTTGATATCTGGCTATGCCCGCTGCAATCAGATTGAAGGCATTAAGCATCTGCTTAGAAAAATGAGAGAAGATGGTTTCGAGCCAAATGTTTATACGTGGAATGGTATTATTGCAGGTCATGTGGAGAACGACCTACATGATAAAGCCATGCAGTTGTTTTCTGAAATGCAAACTTCAAATATGAGGCCTGACGTTTATACTATTGGAATAATTCTACCTGCTTGTTCAAGGTCAGCTACCATTGAGAGGGTAAAACAGGTTCATGCGCATGCAATTAGATGTGGCTATGATGCCGATGTCTACGTAGGGGCAGCTCTTGTGGATATGTATGCCAAATGTGGGAGTATACAGCATGCACTACTAGCATATAATAGAATTTTAGAGCCAAATTTGGTGTCCCACAATGCAATGCTTACAGCATATGCCACGCATGGACAAGGGGAGGATGGGATTGCTCTCTTTAGAAGAATAATAACAAATGGCTCCAGGCCTGATCATGTCACTTTTCTTTCTGCTCTTACTTAATGTGTTCATGTCGGGTCAGTCGAGATGGGCCAGGAACTATTTGATCTGATGCAGCACTATGATGTCAAACCCACGATAAAACACTATACGTGCATGATTGATCTGTTGAGTCGAGCTGGTCAGCTTACTGAAGCTTATAAACTAATCAAGCGAGTTCCTCTGGAAGTTGATTCAGTGATGTGGGGCTCCTTGCTCGGCGGCTGATTTCTTCACGGCAATGTTGAGTTGGGGGAAGTTGCAGCAAAGAGACTTATAGCGTTGGAGACTAATAACACCGCAAACTATGTACTCTTGGCAAATTTATATGCTTATGCTGGAAAATGGTCTGATCTGGCAAGAACAAGACAAAAAATCAAAGATATTGGAATGCATAAGATCCCAGGATGTAGCTGGATTGAAGACAGGGATGATGTACATGTATTTCTCTCATATGACAAATCTCATAAGAGAACAGAAGAAATCTATGCTACATTGGATAAACTAACCCTCCACATGAAAACAACTGCATTGTAAATGCATCAAACTTTCTGCTTTGTATTATTTTGTAACAAGTATACAGTGAATCACAAATCTAAATTTCTGCAATATTCTCCTAACGTTAGCGATGATGACTTACTGTCATCCTGTGGTACCTGTAGCATAAACTGAACTTTCGTCTTCATCGGGGCAGTCCTTGCCTTGCCATTTTCATCTCCAACCTGAAACGATGAAACAGAGAGTTATTGGGGCCATGTAAACAATGTAAGCCTCGCCTTCAATGATCCATGTAAACAACATAAGCCTCGCCTTCAATGATCGGAGTTCAGCAAATAGAACTTGCCCATAAGGAAGCCCAGCCAACTAGCCGAGACGAACCTCTCATCATAGCCAGCTTTGAACTTGAAGTATTTCTCATATTTGTACTTGTACACAGCACTCCAATTGTTTGAATCAAGCCTGTACCAGTAGCTGCAGATAAATACGAATAAATACACTTCGATAGAAAGACCACTTACCATCCTTGCAATCGAATCAACTTCAAATGAAAAAATAAATAATAAACGAGTGCTTTGTAAATTATTTAGATTAAGCAATTGAATTAATTTAAATTTCCATTTTTAAGCAAAGCTTCCTTTGATAACAGATTCCACAATGGAGAATGTTCATATCTGCCAAAAGAACCTACATATGCAACTCGGTAAACTCCATTGATGTTTCACTGAAACTCCCAAATCCCAGTGTGAGTTCGAAGCTTCTGGGTTGCAGGTTTTGATCCACTGACAATTTTCAAAATTCTCTACATGTCTTTGAACTGTTATTAACTTAAATGGTTGCAGATCAACTTGACTGAGAGTTGGTTCTTAAATATGTTGATTAATCAAGTTTTTTCTCGAAATGATTGTGGGGTTTTCCCAATTGAAATGCTACAAGCTAAAGGAATTACAGAGCCTGAAGAAGATACAAACAAGGTTTCTGAACTGCCATGTTCATCATTTACAGGATTCTTTTCGATCAGGGGAGGATAAATTCATGGCGTAGAACTGTGGGGTTAAAGGGTATATACTAAAGGATGAAGGATGAAAGATAAAAGAGGAAATTTAGCAGAAGATTTGAGGGTTGAAAGAAGGCTGAAGAGCAAAGTGTGAAGCAGGAAAGATAAGAGTCCCATATTGCTAAGAGATAACACAGTGCAACCCAAGTGACTGTATAAATGAAGGCTCAAGTCCTTGGCTTCAACCTACGGAGCCGTGCGGTGAGTACAAAGCGAACTATTCTTTCGCCTTTTACTAAAGAATACCGTGTGCTCGCCGCTCACAGCGGCATACGCCTATTTTTGGAGGGTCGTTCTCTCGGGAACAGGCCCAACAGTTTCTAGTCTTAATGTTTTGGTTTCAATAACTGACAATTAATAACTTATCCTCTCTGAATGTAGTTCTCCTTCAAAGGTTTGTACTTGTCCAAGATATTATACAGACTTCCATGTACCAAGCACATATAAGTCCTGTATAAATACCTCGTAGCTCCGCCTCTAGAACCGAGTGATGTGTGGCTTCTTTTTCCATAGGTGTGCAATTGACAGAACAAGATATAATGGTTACCAGTGATAGATGATGATGATCGAGTATATTGGCATCATCTCATGATCTTTGATACCGAGAAGAAACTTACGGTTTTCATTTTGTTCTTTATTTTCTAATTGAAAATCTCATATCATGCTAGTTACTTGGGAACAGCTTACATTCTTAACCATATTAATTTTCTCTTGCTTTCTTAATAACATTAGACTGGATTGCTTGTAAGCCTAAAATTAGTACAGAAGGATTGGCTTATGTCCGGTTCTGTATATAACAGAAGCTGTCCTTTAGATCTATCTCGCAGTTTAGGTTCTTTTATTTTACTTTCCTCGCTAAATGTGGGTCTAAAGGATAGAGATGTAATATATTCTGATGTTACTTTCAGTGAAGGGGTAATCAGTGTACATATTTTTAATATAGTAGGAAGACACTAAAATGGGCTATCCAAGGATAGTGCAGCTTTGATGATACCGATTCACACCATTAAGAAACTTCAGGATTATTTTATGATTCTTTCTTAGGAGTACATAAATTGTAGTATTATTAGTAATGGATTGTATAGATTGATATGCATCAATCTTGATAGTTCTTGCTGTCTTCTACTACCTTGTACATTTTTATGTAGTTATGACCATCTTTAGATGATGTGATGACTATGAAAGTTTCCTTCTTTGACAGTGACAATCGCAAAACATCCATTGTCAATTTCCACAGAAGCTGTCCGAATCCTGATTGTTTTGCGGTCGAAACTTGTTCCCTCGAAACTTTTGCGGTCGTTAACGCCCAGATCGATCGAAAAGAAACCCTAAAAACCGTATTGTGGATGAATCACTGTCTTAGAAACAAAATCTTCATAGTTAACGTGTACATGAAATTTACATGATCCTTCGGAATTCGACAATACACTTAAGATTGTGAGAGCTTTACCTGATATAGGTACTTAGGAAAAGAAGAAGAGGCAGGTAGCTGCAGGTAGATGAAGTTCCACTTGTAACATTGCTTGCTCAATTGAGCATCACATAAACCAGAAACGCAAAGCATCATATAAGCCAAACATGGAGATATACACATGCAATTGAAACTGCCATTGGAATACTCATTTGAGCAAGAAACATTACAAAGAGGAACGAATTACTTCCTCTTTCTCTGATGATAAAAACCTAGTTCCATTGCCATATATAGAAGGTTCAGTATGAAGGGTCGTTTGGTGTAAACCGATCAAGCAGGAGAAATATGATTGGAGCATTGACAGTCGGTTTAAAGGGTCCAAAATAGTTGCAGAAAGAATGGCAGCCCAACATTATAATGTCGCCCCCAACAACCAAACTCACCATCATTCAAGTGGGAGAAAATTAGAAAAAAGAAATGCATCAGTTGCTGAATCAAATAGTGTGTCTTGCTGTTAATGTCAATAAAAGGTTCCTCGTCTTTTTCTTCTTGCTTGTGTCGGTGTAACCCTAATTAGATGGTGCTGGTTCACATTATGTTATTAATTAGGGCTTCATCTTTGCTAAAACATATCAAGATTTCACTGGAATTCAACAGAAGTTTGAACTTTTCTCGTGGCTTTTTTCAACACAAGCAAAATAATGATGATAAAAGAAGCGGGTATACACTAAAAAGTGATGCAGTGAGGTATATATGCCAAGTTCATGACTTTGACTGGGGAGGTGTAATTATGGAGTATTGATGTGAACGTGAGTTCATCATACTTACCGGAACTCGTAGGCATATTCACCTAATTTTTCAGAGTTAGAGATTGACTTGGAAAAGTTGTAGTACTGCTTTAAATTCAGTTTGATGATTGGATAATTTATGCATTTGGTCACTCGGCTTTTATTGTTTTTATGTTTTAGTTATTTAACTTTACAAAAATTAATTTTACCACTCAGCAATCAGTTTTTTTTTCACTCAGTCATTTCTGGGTCTAAGGGGAGTAGGATGGCAACAGGCCGGGTTCGGGTCGGGTATTGGATCTCCCGTCCCCGTTTAAAATACCCGTATCAGTCCCCATTTAAAAAACCGCGGAGATTTAAACGGGATCCCCATCGGGTAATCGGAGAAAATTGTGGAGAAACGGATATCCTGTTTAGTATAAACGTTTATTTTAACGGATATCGGACCGGGTATATATATATTTAAATTAAATATATAAATATTATATATATTTTTTAATTTAAATTAAATTTATTAATATTATATATATATATAAAATAATTATTTTTAAGATTTATCGGGCCGGATAATCAGGACGGAAATTACCAAACCCGACCCTTTCCCTGTCCCCGTTTAGCATAAACGATTTTTCCTTATCCTGTCCCCATAATAAACAACTTTTTTCCGTCGCCGTTTAATTCGATTTTCCCCGTCAAATCAATCTATATCTCGATTTGGGATTAATCATTCTATATCCCTAAAGGGGAGCGCTTCACCCTCAAGCTTTGGGCTTTGAATTTCAAATCAATCTATATCTCGATTTGGGATTAATCAAGAAAATTCATAAGAAAAATCCAGTCAAATCAGAACACCATCTCTCTGCAACCCCAAATCAATTAGATATTTTTCTAAAGAGAAGGGGGAAAGATGCAGAATACTGAAGGCAGCTGTCTGTCTTACGTGGCGGCGTGGTTGGGAAGCAGCGTGGCCCAAGCTTCTTCGCATCTCTGGAGCGTTGTTCTTGCATCAACCTTTCTACATCCGACGATGCCGATGATTCCGAGGCCCACGATCTCCCTCTCATGATCACCAATTCCTCCTCCATCTCTTCATCTGTTACTTCTGTGGCCGCCGCCAACAGCAGCAGCAACTCTCACTCCAACGGCGTCGTTCATCTCCCCGTCTGAAAGTTTCCTTCTTTGACAGTTTGATCAGATGAGGACTATCGGTATCAAGAAGGATATAATTTCGTGGAACACATTGATTTCTGGATACGTGAACAATTCCTTG